TGATTCAGAAGAATGGAAGTCTAAACACTTCGTGGTAGAAAGGTGGATTTATTTTCTTAAAGAATCTGAAAGTCTTGACCGCAAATGCCAATTGCTCAAATACAATCCTGCACATCCTTTTGTAGAGTCAATTTTATTCATGGCGGAACCTTGATTTTGGTCGAGGATGGTGTTAAGTATAGGGAAATCAATTCAGTGAATCGTCTATCGCGAGAGATTCATTTTGAATTCTGCGCAGGGCAGCTGCATGATTTGAGCGATGTTGTTGTGATTCTGTATAGATCATCTAACGGTGACTTTTTTCAATTTCTGGAACAACTCGAATCGGCTCTCGAGCTGTTGGACCACATCGGAGGGTGATTATAAAGGTGATTTTAATGTTCATTTTGGCTCAGGCGACAAAAGAGCCGAGTTAGTTATTGACACCTTCGCTACTTTTGGTTTTGTCCCGTTGCTGCTTAATACTCCAACCAGGAGTTTGAACTGTTTGGATAATATTTTTATTAATTTTAATGATGCAATGTAAATTGAGCAGTGCACACCGTGAGACGCCGGTCAGATGCAATGTTGTTTTATAGCACTGCAGATGATATAAATTGGGATTTCATATCGCATGATAATTTGACTGCCAATCAGAAATTTGATTCATTTCATGAACTCATCCTTCATAGCGCATTTTCGAAAAAAACAATTGTGCACAGTAATCAAGGTTTATATATAAGAGGTTGTCTATGTTCGTACGCAACCATACTGCGCATTACGTCACATGTGGAAAATAATACCGCCAAGCAATTCAAATTAAACAAAGGCATGGAGCACCACATGGCCATGAGGTTGCGTGCGCAATCCGTGATCGCTTACGTCATGAAACACTCCTGCTCTTGCCCCTCGCCCACAAACTAAAATCAAAGTATTGCAGCATAGGAACTTAGACAACCTTTAATATATAAACCTTGCACAGTAATAAGATATGCTGGTTGGCAGTAGTACAAGCTGGTTTTCTGCACATCTCAAGGGTATGAGGAATCGCCTGCATTTCTTAAGAGATATTCACAATGTCACAGGTTTTGAGAAACTAAAGCGAGAACTTAACTTTCTAACAAAAAATTATAGACACAAAATAGTGTCAAGATATGTGGAAAATAATAATAATAATAAGTTCATTGCCACATAGTTAATACAAGAGAAAAATAATATATATGTACACATAAATGAATAAGTAATGCATGTTGACAAAAGGTCAGTTTATCGCCAAAGGCGATGTCTTCTAAAAGACCCAACCAGCAACGTATGTAAAAAAAAAATCTATACAAATAATTCAACATTTAAGCAAAAAGAAGAAAAAGAGCAAAGAGAAAAAACAACACAACGAGTACAGTTGATAGAGAGGAAGAGAAAGAAAAAGAGGAGAGAAACGAAAAGAGGAGAAAATAGTGAACAGTCATCAAATAAGAAAAGTACTATTAAAGCAATGTTTGACCCAAATGAAGTAAATGATTACTTTATAAATGTTCCCGTAGGTGAACGGGTTAATAAAATTCGGCTGAGTAATTTGACAACTAACTTTAATCAGCTGCTATCGAATATCACTGTACCACCTGGAAAATTCTGCCTGGAGCCAGTCGGTGTAATTGAGGTTTGGGATATAATCTGTTCTTTAAAAAGTACTTGTTCTAGGCATGTATACGGATTATATGCTGTAATATTACAGCTGATAAAAGATGCAATATCATCGCCTTTAATAAAATTAATCAACCAATGCATGAGACAAAATGCTTTAAAGTTAGAATTGGTAACTCCTGTCTTTAATAAAGGTGGTCCTCTTGTCATAGAAAATTATCGACCAATCTCACTCCTGCCTGTATTCTCAAAAATTTTTGAAAAAATCTTAAAGCGTCATGTCAATACGGGTTTCTTCAGAATCGCAGCACGAAAGACACGATTATGGATTTTGTACAACAGGCAACAGGCTATTATGAGACAGGCGAGTATATGACAACTACGTTCTGCGACCTCAGCAAGGCCTTTGATTGTGTGAAGCATAATTTATTAATAAAGAAGTTAGTAGATATAACTTTGGTGATTGCAGTATTAAGATGATTCAATCGTACCTAGGTGGCAGAAGACAAATAGTCTGTTGTAATGATAGCTATTCTACATCAGAGTGCATTTTTTTTGGAGTTCCATAGGGGTCAGTGTTGGGGCCTCTACTTTTCCATATTTACATAAATGACTTGCCTGCCTCAATATCTAAGTGTTCAATCATATTCTATGCTGACAACACTACTTTAATCAGCAGACATGAAATCATCATTGATATTGTTGCAGCAAATCGGGCGTCGCGCTCTGAGGCTGTGGAATGGTTTGCGTGCAACGGCCTGAATCTGAATTTCAACAAAACAGCTGCAGCTGTCTTTACACTAAGAGACGTTTAGCCAGATATGATTGGTGAGCAATTCGTAAATTTATTGGGTGTTCGCTTGGCCCCAAATTGACATGGGGGCAGCATTTAGGTAAGTATAATTTGCGGAAGGCTGGTGTTGAGAACTACTTACTTTGCACTGTGTCAGTCGCTATTGGTCTGAAGTATCGAGACGAGTGCCGTGAATCCTTTATAGATCAGAAAATACTAACATTTCCGTCGCTATTTATATTAGATTTTGTTTTGTCTCTTGTTTATGTCATGACGTGGCTTTTATTTTGCTGCGCTTTTATTTTATATTACCTTTCCTTTTTCGGTTTTTCTTTTTGCTGTGGTTTGGTTTGTTGCTTTGGTAGTTTGTTGTGTTGTGTTGTTTGTTTTCTATTTTGGTTTTGCTTTCCTTTGCTTTTTTTTTTTTTGATTTGGTTTCGTTGGGTTTGGGTTGTGTCGTGACCACATCAAATCATGGTGTTCTGCTTTTGATTTTATTTTGTTTTGTGTTCTTTGGTTTTTTTTTTTTTTTGTTTTTTTTTTTTTTTTTTGTCTATTGTGAGTGTTGTATATTTTTGGTTCGGATGCACATATTATTATTATTATTTTTTCTGTCGCAAGTTGTTTCTTGTGGTGTTCTAAATAAAAAGTAATTATATTAAATAAATTTTTTACTTCATCTCTACACCCCCATCTCAAAGTGTCCCGACGAGATCCCAGCTAGATATGGGAACCCTAGGAATAACCCGAATTGGATTCTATCTATGCACTAACATTTATATTTAAATATGTATTAAATAGATATTATTAATATTAATGACTTAAAAATATTTTGTCCGTTATATCCGAAGTCCGTTCTAACGATGTCTGTTATCCCGAGGTTTATTTATATCATCGCACGAAAAAGAGAAAAACAAAAGGATTCTAGAAGAATTTAGTTTTTAAATTACACTTTTTTCTAAGAAAATTTCTAGGTGTTATTTTTAGACCCAGACAAACTCTTTCCTTTCTTCGAAAATTGGTCAGGGTCACCTTAATTATCCCTTACATCCTGAAGAAGGGGAGAAAGACTTTTAAACGAAACCCCTCCGAAAAAATAATAAAAATAAATTAACATCCTTAAATTGTTAGTTTCTATAACTAGAGCATTCTTAATGGACCGTTATTATAATTAAAGCTATCCCATTTTAAGAGGAAAGAATTTCTATTTAAACTCCCAGCAATGACGGAACTGTCCATACTCGTCAATTCCAATTAAAGGATACCTAACAGTCGCTCAAGACTCATCTCGTGAAAACGAATAAGGTCGCACGTAAAAGAACTAGTTAGCCCCTTATTTTCTACAACCCCAAAAATGGAAAACGAAAATTCCAACCTAGTTAATTTTTTTCTTTCTTATTTTTAGAGTCTTGTTTATTTTGCTTAATTCTTCGTGGTTTTATTAACTGTGACACAATTTATTTTGACATCATGAGTAAAGTTGTTACGCGACCTCCATGACATCATAAAAGAGCACCGAATCGCTTCGTTGGTATTTTTATTAGTCTATCTTGAAGTCGATGTTCTACTTTTACTCCAAAAAAAAACTAAGTTTTTTTATTAGAGGTCGGCGAAGGTAATCACTCTTTCATGAAGTGACGAAAGTACCTAGTTTTAAAATTAAAGTCTCTTAAAATACCCCATTTGACCGTATTAGATTACCGAGAGAGTTTTATTAACACCCGATATTTGCTTCCCACGATTAAATTTTGTAAGGATTCTTTCTTTCTTTCAGATTAAAAGTAGTCAAGTGGAAAATGAATTTTTGGATTAATGATAAATGAGGAAGTCTTATCGGGTTTTATAAGACCTCACGCAAAGAGTTGAATTATGAAACATCTTAAGTGATAAGATTTGTTCTATTTTTTTCCGATTTAATTTGTCCCAACAAACATTTCATTAACATTTTTTAATCTAGTTTTTGTTTATTAATTAGTGTTTATTCAAGATTTATGAAGTTTACTGAAGACATTAACGCAATGAGCACACAGCATATAAGCGATAGGATTATGCGAATTTAATTTATAGTTTGTCATAAATCTGTCGTAGAATCGTTTTCCATAATATACATATGCAAAAGAACATTATCGTAATTTACATGGGAGTTGATGACAGAAACTATGGGGTAAATTATGACGAATTTATAATTATTTCAAAATTATTAAAGAACTCATATAATTCGTTTTGGTTGAGTAATTACCATAGGTTGACTAAAAATACCAATGCGCTAAATAATTTCATTTTTAAATAATTTTAAAGTGAAGTAATGATTTCAAAACAATCTAAACAAATCAAATTGTAGTTGCATAGGCTTGACTAATATGCACTTTGTCAATGTTTCATAAAAGAAAAGAAAAATCCTTCCCTTTTAACACTACTGTATAATTTGCCGCTAGTAGTTGCGCAGAATAACACAATTTTACCATTTTTACGCTCCGCCAAACGTAATTAAAAACACAACCAAAGAGAATAAAAAACGAAAAAATAATTTTAAATTAATTAATAATTCAAACAATTTTTTTAATTTTAATATAACCTTGTAACTTACCTTTCTTAGCCTAACTTGTACCGGTTCGACCGTCGAATTGCCAGCATTTGAACCACCCCTATTCTTCTTGGAAGAATTGGAACCTGGTAGCAGCTGGGCGAAAATCTCCGATGAAACGGTGCCGGTATTTGTTCGTTGCTTGTATTGAGAATTCACTGCCATCGAGCGCGCAAAACAACTCTTAAAGTTATTGTCAAAATCCGCACTGAACTCGAACTTTTCATTCAACATTTTAAAATTTGTTTCGATCAAATCAATGTTCACTTAAAACCGAATAACTCTCTTAAAGTCTTTAATAACTTAATAATATAATTGGAATGATTAGTAAATAATTAACAATTGTTATACACTTTATAGATTTTTAGTTCTTATGGAATGGGAAAGGTATGATGTTCTTCTCGGGGAAGAAGTTGAGACATGCCGGGTTTTAAAAACACGCGGAGTTCTCTAAAACACACTTCTTGTCGCCGCAAAGGCAATGCGGGCAATAGCGAAGAGAACTGTTTTGAAAGTTCCGTACCACGCGCCAGTGAATTCGTTCGGAGCATGCGCTCGTTTATGGTGAACCACTACCCTTATGGTTCCATCTTTTTTCAACTTACTATATTTTGTATAACTTTTTATACAAATAGATAAACTAAAAAAAATAACATTATTATTTCAAAATTAACAGAATAAAAAATGTAATAGAAATTAATATTAAAGTACATTTTTGAACTAAACAGATGCCTGAGTAGGATGATGCCTGAACAATGTAGGCATCATCAGAACTACAAAAAATAAATTTATCAAAAAACACAGAACAGTTTAAATATAAAATTATAAAACTACTCTCGCTTTACACTTAAAAAATTTTTTTTTTACTTACATTGAAAAGTACAAGATGAAAATTTTCAAATAATTTGGTAATACACTTTAAAAAAAAAATCATTAACCTTAGGTAACAGATACAAAAAACTGTTCGAATCATACCATCAGAACAAAAAGTAAATTATGTTATAATAAACTAAATCACCATATCGAGAAACCTTTTTAACATTTACGTCTGATTTTACAGAATTTTTAATGTGATTTCAATAACCAGTATCATGTTTTAAAAAACATGTTTCATGCAAAAATATGTAAAAACATCATAACCAAACTGCGCATGTATAAAATATAAAATAAAATAAAACGTTCGGAAAATGTCAATAAAATAAAAGTTAATTAATAAAAACAAATAGATTACTCGGCTGGGAAACGACAAAGGACAAGCAACTGTGACAATTATTATAAATCAAATTAAAATAATAACTGGGATAATTCAAGGGTAAAAGTAAATAAAGGGATAAAGAGTTGGAAAAAAGAGGGAAAGGAATTAGCTTCTAGGACCTCAATATTTGCGCCTTCTATGTGATGCTAGTTATAAAGTCTTCGGTATATTAGGGAAGGGATTATACGGGTGTGTTAAAACAACGTTTAAATATTTATAGGGGTAGTACAACAATCGAAAACAAGTCGAAAAGTGTTAATAAACATGGGTTCGAAAATCAACCGTTCTCGAAATACAGGATGTTAAAATTTTTCTGGACTCTACGTTTTTTCTTTTAAACTATAACTACCACAAATTTGATACTTGGCAAATCGATACAGTATGAAACTGTCTCTTTTTGAGAGTAGTATGATGTTTGTCAGTGAAAATAAATACCACTATTTTTCAGAAAATTCAAAAATTTTATTTAACAATTGGTTCGATAGCTTAATTTCCATTGCTTCCGGTTGGACCGTCACGTCAGTGAAAATAAATACCACTATCTTTCAGAAAATTCAAAAATTTTATTTAACAATTGGTTCGATAGCTTAATTCTAANTAACCAGTATCATGTTTTAAAAAACATGTTTCATGCAAAAATATGTAAAAACATCATAACTAAACTGCGCATGTATAAAATATAAAATAAAATAAAACGTTCGGACAATGTCAATAAAATAAAATTAATTAATAAACAAATAGATTACTCGGCTGGGAAACGACAAAGGACAAGCAACTGTGACTATTATTATAAATCAAATTAAAATATCGCTTCCTGGAAATTGTTTATTTATAACAAAATCAAAAGAAAATAATAACTGGGATAACACAAGAGTAAAAGTAAATAAAGGGATAAAGATAAAGTAAGAGTTGGAAAAAAGAGGGAAAGGAATTAGCCTCTAGGACCTCAATATTTGCGCCTTCTATGTGAGGCTAGTTATAAAGTTATAAAGTCCTCGGTATATTAGGGAAGGGACTATACAGGGTGTGTTAAAATAACGTTTAAATATTTATAGGTAGTACAACAGTCGAAAACAAGTCGAAAAGTGTTAATAAACATGGGTTCGAAAATCAACCGTTCTCGAGATACAGGATGTTAAAATTTTTCTGGTCTCTACGTTTTTTCTTTTAAACTATAACTACTACAAATTTGATACTAGGCAAATCGATACAGTATGAAACTGTCTCTTTTTGAGAGTAGTATGATGTTTCCATTGCTTCCGGTTGGACCGTCACGTCAGTGAAAATAAATACCACTATTTTTCAGAAAATTCAAAAATTTTATTTAACAATTGGTTCGATAGCTTAATTCTAAACAATATTAATACAAAAAAAAATGTTGTATTCCTTAAGGTTTCCGAGAAAAAAAAGACATTTTTTAAAGTAAATTATTAGATAAGTTGAATCTTTTATGACTTTTGGTTTTTATAAGTTTCACAAATCGATGCAGTATGAAACTGTCTCTTTTTGAGAGTAGTATGATATTTCCATTGCTTCCAGGTGGTATAAGTTATTCCATTACAAAACGTTATACCGAGTGCACGGCCATTAGTTATCAAAATTTTGCCATTACAAAGAGCTGTATCTGCTAAGATACATTAATTTGACATTTGGTTCAAATTACGAAATAACCAAACTCCAGTAATTTGACTTTGCATAACCTGAAGTGAAATCGTTTGCAATAGTCTTGTATTCAAATGCTGAAATGAGCGGTATGGTGTTTATGTACGGCCGTGCCAATGGAAATACTTTGACAACACGTCGTTTCTATGCTGAAACATTTCCTAATGGGCGGCTACCTTCACATGTTATGTTTCAATCACTTTTTCACCATCTAAAAGAAAGTGGATCCTTTGAAAGGTCTTATAATACCGGACGGCAGAGATCCGTATGTACACCNAAATTCAAAAATTTTATTTAACAATTGGTTCGATAGCTTAATTTCCATTGCTTCCGGTTGGACCGTCAGTGAAAATAAATACCACTATCTTTCAGAAAATTCAAAAATTTTATTTAACAATTGGTTCGATAGCTTAATTCTAAACAATATTAATACGAAAAAAAAAGTTGTATTCCTTAAGGTTTCCGAGAAAAAAAAGACATTTTTTAAATTATTAGATAAGTTGAATTGACACAATGCAATACTAATACTTTTGGTTTTTATAAGTTTCACAAATCGATGCAGTATGAAACTGTCTCTTTTTGAGAGTAGTGTGATATTTCCATTGCTTCCAGGTGGTATAAATTATTCCATTACAAAACGTTATACCGAGTGCACGGCCATTAGTTATCAAAATTTTGCCATTACAAAGACCTGTATCTGAGCCGGTGAGAATGAAAGTGGCATAAGTCACATTTTGACAAATTAGAGAAATTTAATTGTATGTTAAAATTATTATTGAAAAATCAAATAAAGGAAGATCGCAATACTAAAAACTGATTGCTATTTGAAATTAAATGATTAACCCGATTTATAAACATTATATTCTGCATCTTTTGTATATACTATAAAAAGTAGGGGTTAAGTGACTTATGCCACATTCATCCTAAATACGTGCAAGATAATATGATAATTTCTGGACTTACATCGAAAAAAAGTTGTTATTATTTTGTACATTTTCAAGGCTCTTATTACTTGAATCAATTTCAATTAAATAACATTTCCCATTTTACTTCACATTTTTAATGTATTTAACACAAATATAAAATAAAATTAAAATTAAAGCCTAAGGNCAGCACGTCGTTTCTATGCTGAAACATTTCCTAATGGGCGGCTACCTTCACATGTTATGTTTCAATCACTTTTTCACCATCTAAAAGAAAGTGGATCCTTTGAAAGGTCTTATAATACCGGACGGCAGAGATCCGTATGTACATCGGAAATAGAGGAACAAATTTTAAATACAGTTGCTGAAAATCCCGAAGAAAGTGTGAAAAGAATTTCGGCTCAAGTGGGTACTATACTCTGTTTTTAAACCAGGAGGAGTAAACGCGAAAGTCAGATTTAAACTAGGAAAAATCACCAGAAAATATCACTAGATATTTTGACGGTAAATTTAAATTAATAATAATTATTATTTATTTATTTACTTATTATTGTATTTATTTTCGTTTGTTATCGTCAACACTAACCATACAAATTAACATTGAAGTTATGTGTATTTATTTCAAAATATAATAAAGAAGGGTTTAAGAACACAAAATTTACAATAATGACACGAAACGGTCGAACGATCAATAAGCTAACCTTCAAATTCAAAATCAAAATTCAAAATTGCCTGTGTGTGAACCTTCCTCGCATTCAACCAATCACGAGCAAGGTCAATCTGATGACAAATTTAGAATACACCTCCTGGTTTAAAAACATAGTATAGTGGATATGTTGTTTGGAGACCTCTCCGTGAGCAACTTATATACCCTTACTATATCCAACGTGTCCCAGCCCTCAATCCTCCGGATTACCACACACGGTTGACAGTCTGCCAATGGTTTTTACGAGAAGCGTCGAGGATTCTTAGCTAACATACTTTTTACAGATGAAGCTGGTTTTACTAGAAATGGAATATTCACTTTACACAATAATCATGTGTGGTCTGACGAGNTCCGTTCCTGCTCCGGAATGTTGGCTTTTCTTAATTTTCGCTAATTCTAAAGCATACGCATTTCTAATAGAACGTATTTTTGCTTTCACTTCAGCAATTTCAAAGCCTTCAATATCCATTAATTCGCAAAGTTTTTGGTAAGCGTTTTCTCGACCATCTTTGTTTTTATAAGCACTGCTATGTACATCCCATAAACACGGATAAGATTCATAGCTTTCAAGAAATTTGATTGTCACTTCTGCCGACCACTTTTTTTTAGCCATAATAAACTATATAATAATAATAATAACAATAATAATGACTTTATTTCACCCAACCATTTACATTTCTAAATAAAGAATTTCGGAGACAGTAATGTATACAAAAATATTAATCCAACATTAGAGAAATTAAAAAACATCTAGGTGAAAAGGCGAAGTTCAGAACGCACGGGTTCTGCTCAAACTTAACCTAAATTAACAATAATACCACATGAAAAAACCAACGTAAGAAAGCGGTAAAGCAAAAAACTACTCTATTGCGTAATACTTAAAAAAATAAAAATTTAACCCTCCATCATCACGATCCAAGTGAAAGCATCGAATGTCGCCCGTGTAGACCAATACCATATAGAAATATAAGAATAGAGTCCAATAGAACAATATGATTTTTTTTTTAATAAAAACTGAATTGAATTGAAACGTGCTGGAGAGGATGAGTTAAATCACTGTTGGTTCTGCTGCGAGCGTAGAGATAAGAACATCGACCTCCGAAACCGGGACAGCGGAAGTAACTTGATATCGTCAGAGATACTATTGTACACGCTGGCTATCTGATAACTGAAACATCTCTTGAAAACTTCCGTTTTATGCGCCGGAGGGGTAAGAAGACCTTTGAATCTTAAGATCAGATGATGTACATCAGTTCGATAGCATACTCTGTCCAACAAATACTCAGGTGTTTTTGAGGTTAAAACTCTATGATCAAAAACGGCACAGTGAAGCTGCCTACGTCTATCCATGTTCAACCACCCTAATGTGGCCAATTTGTGAGATATATGATCATACTTCCTAATACCAAAAAGGAATCGCAAGCAAGCATTTTGTAGTTGCTGAACACGAAGCTGATCTACCTTCAACAAACAAGGCCCATACACCACATCTGCAAAATCGGGGTAAAACCAGCGATTGGCATAACGTTGCTTTGGTGTGAAAGCCCAGTATGTGTCGACAGGGGTAAAAACCCTTTAATTTAGCATAAGCCGCTTGGAGAACATAAGAAATATGTTTGCGAAATCTTAAATCAGTTTCAAGGTGGAGTCCAAGGTTACGAACCTCAGAAACCACCGGGAGAAGTTGTCCATTTATATTTATATTAACGAAGTCGGAGTATTTTTGAACGTCTCCCCTTCGACCGAAGACCATAACCTTTGACTTACCGGGATTCAATCTAAGGTTAAACTTTTCTGCAAGCTGAGAAAAAGCATCCAATTCCCTGTTGATCACAACTAGGGTATCAACAAAATTATCTGGAGGAAATGAAAGATAGATACACTTGCGTGTCGTCTGTATATAAATGAATGTTACACATGTGAAAAACATTAATAAGATGAGCTGTATAAATAGAAAACAAGAGTGGTGATAATATTGATCCCTGGGCAACTCCTAATCCTAGTGTCATCAATGAGGACGATTCATTATGCAATCGTACATATTATTTGCGATCCAATAAGTAGCTTCGAAGCAAGTCAATTGCAGATTCCGCCAAACCGGATCGTTGCAGTATAGATAGTAGTAATGAATAACAATCAGTCTTGAAAGCCTTACTGAAATCTAATAGGATTAACACTGTAAGGAACCCATCGTCAGTAGCTCTCAGGATATCATCCGTAATTGCCGAAAGGGCGGTCACACATCCATACCCCTGCCGAAACCCCGATNTGGCATAACGTTGCTTTGGTGTGAAAGCCCAGTATGTGTCGACAGGGGTAAAAACCCTTTAATTTAGCATAAGCCGCTTGGAGAACATAAGAAATATGTTTGCGAAATCTTAAATCAGTTTCAAGGTGGAGTCCAAGGTTACGAACCTCAGAAACCACCGGGAGAAGTTGTCCATTTATATTTATATTAACGAAGTCGGAGTATTTTTGAACGTCTCCCCTTCGACCGAAGACCATAACCTTTGACTTACCGGGATTCAATCTAAGGTTAAACTTTTCTGCAAGCTGAGAAAAAGCATCCAATTCCCTGTTGATCACAACTAGGGTATCAACAAAATTATCTGGAGGAAATGAAAGATAGATACACTTGCGTGTCGTCTGTATATAAATGAATGTTACACATGTGAAAAACATTAATAAGATGAGCTGTATAAATAGAAAACAAGAGTGGTGATAATATTGATCCCTGGGCAACTCCTAATCCTAGTGTCATCAATGAGGACGATTCATTATGCAATCGTACATATTATTTGCGATCCAATAAGTAGCTTCGAAGCAAGTCAATTGCAGATTCCGCCAAACCGGATCGTTGCAGTATAGATAGTAGTAATGAATGACAAACAGTGTCGAAAGCCTTACTGAAATCTAATAGGATTAACACTGTAAGGAACCCATCGTCAGTAGCTCTCAGGATATCATCCGTAATTGCCGAAAGGGCGGTCACACATCCATACCCCTGCCGAAACCCCGATAGCACCGCTGGTAGAATATTGTTATCCTGCACATGTAGTTTTAGTTGGGACCATAATATCTTTTCGAATAATTTGGACATGGGCGAAAAGATGCTAATTGGTCGAAGATCATTAAAGGATTTAGGATCTTTAACTTTAGAAATAGGGTGAACCGCCGCAATTTTATAGCAAGATGGAAAGGTTGATGACTCAATTGAGGTATTAATCAAATGTGCAATAAATTTTGACAGAAATGGACATGAAATTTTCAGAATTTGTAAGGGTATTCCATCGAAGCCCACAGCACTAGATTTTAATTCATTTAAAGTGGTTTTCACCACGGATTCCGTAACTATGTTAAATTTAAAAGAGGTATTCGAATTCAAGAAAAGATCCAAGATATCCTTCGCGCCATCAAGATCATTGGTGTGTGGTTGCGAAATTGAGTTAATGAAGTGATGTGTCAAATCTTCAGCTCGACACAATGATTCTGGAATTTCACACTCCTTATTACGACACAAGCCAATAGTACGAAACGCTTTCCATGCAGCAGTCGAATCACCCTTGTTTAGTTCTGCGTCAATGTAATTCTTTTTAAGATGTTTGATTTGGGGTGTAATCGAATTACGTATAGTTTTGTAAGTATTCCAGTCAGTGGAATGGCGGGTCCGTTTGAATTTACACAGACTAGAATCACGCTTCTTCATCAAGTGCTTGATTTCCGGAGTTAACCGCGGTCTGTATTTTGAGCGGTCATGTTTGAATTAAAGAACATAACTTTATCATCTATAGATCTCAGGTGGTAAATATTTCGCCAGGGAATTGAGCGTAATCTATGGTAAAATGCTACATGATTAAAATCTGAGAAATCTCGATAAGATTTAAGGATTGCCGCCGGTTTAGTTTTCTGTAGTACTAAAATGCAGAAAATTAGTCCGTGATCAGAAATATCAGGTGTATGTACAATTCCGGAGTCGATTATTATATCGTCATTACTCACCAAGATTAGATCAATAAGAGAAAAAGAAGACTGGGTTATGCGCAACTTTAACCCAGTATTCTTAATATAAACTACAACTATATATGTTACGGCTAAAGCTCGAATTCCGGGTAAACCTAAGTTTAACCGGTTAATGTTGAGAATTACCCGGGTCTTACGGATAAAGTCCAAATAGTTTTCAACGCTTCCAACTTTAACCGGCATTAAAACAAGGCGATCGTATTCGTTGTGCATTCGGTTAGTATTGCATCATTATTGCGCCATCCCTGTGCGTATTTATTAAATAGTAGAGCAAATCGATCTCGTTCGTTGTACATTTGGTTAGTTCGTTATCATTACTTTGACGAATTAACCTCAAAAATGGAAGGTTATAATGTGTTTAAGTCAAGTTTTTATGAAGAATTTAAAAACGTTTTGTTCGTTAAGGATCCTAATAACTTTTACATGAATAATGCACAATATAATAAGTTTATTGAAGAAGTGAAAGAAGCTAAGCAGTCTAGCAAAAAATCAGCGTTGCATTATCGTCGTTTGAAACGATTTGATATAGTCATATATCTGGTACCGATAAATGAATTGCTCCTGTTTGTAAAACCGATCCTGTAATTAAACATTATGTGAAAAATGAAGAGTTATTTGATATACTTCATGAAATACATGTGTCCATTGGACATGGTGGTCGCAACAGGATGGTTCAGGAAGCTAAAAAAAATATAAAAATATCACTCAGGAAGTTATAATGATATTTCTTCGATTATGCAAATCGTGCCAAATGAAATTAAAATCGGCCAAAAAAGGCATTGTGGTCAAACCGATTGTATCTAAAGAAATGAATAGCCGCTGCCAAGTCGATTTAATCGACATGCAAACCAATCCTGATGGTAATTTCAAATTTATTCTTGTTTATCAAGATCACCTTACAAAGTTTGTGCAGCTACGACCATTGCAGACTAAAACTGCTGAAGAGGTTGCTAAAGTGTTGTTAAATATTTTTTGCATATTTGGAGCCCCGTCTATTTTACAGTCCGATAATGGAAGGGAGTTTGCAAACAAAATAGTTGAAAATTTAATATCCATGTGGACAGGACTAAAAATAATACATGGAAAACCACGTCACAGCCAATCTCAAGGTAGTGTTGAAAGGGCAAATCAAGATATTCAGAACATACTTATGACGTGGATGAAAGACGAAAATTGTAATAAATGGTCTGAAGGACTTAGATTTGTCCAATTGATGAAAAATAGAGCCCATCACGCCGGTATAAAGCGTTCACCATATAAAGCTATGTTCGGCTGTGAGGTGAAAGTTGGTTTAAAGTCATCTCTATTTCCCTCCGAAGTAATTGATAATATTTCTACAGAAGAGGAATTAGAGGAGCTACTGAGAAAACAGGAAGAATGCGAACAAAGTATCGATGACGATACTCAAAGTGGAGAGGAAATGGCACTTAGTAATATGTGCGAAATGTGTACAAACAAAAATGATTTATGTGATTTGTGCTCAAAGAAAAATGACTGATTATTAATAATAGAATCGAAGCAAAGGCAAACCTAGCAGAACAGGCTGAAAAAATGAAATCTTTGTCAAATGTCAAGTATCTACCGTGCAATGTTGGTGACAACGTTAGAGTTAAAATTCCTAACGTAGATAGAGGTAAGGGCGACTTTAGAAACATTATTTTAACCGTTCTCCAACGTACTGAGGATGGACTCTACAAGTTAGGTAATGAGAAAGAGTCCATTTCTGAAATGTTTTGAAGGAATCAATATACCGTATGTGAATCAAAAATTGTAAATATTGAAAATGTTTCAGCTGACAAAAAGTCCTTACGACAACTTGCAAATTTACAGTCAACCTCTGGTGGTCAAGGATTTAAGAAATGCCATTGTAAAACAAAATGCGGAACAATAAATTCCTTTGCAAAGCTGCAAATGTTTTATGCAACTCTAAGTGCCATTTCAGTTTATCTTGCAATAACAAATAAAAAAACAGTAATTTTTTTTCTTTAAAATGAAAGTGTGCATCTATTTCAAAATGTCTATTTCTTTACGTTAGTTTAATATGAAATATACTAGTTAATGGTTATTTTTAAATAAATAATAAATTAATGTTCTTAATTATGGATTTCATTTATTTATTACCTAAAAATTTATTGTTCTACAAGCTTACTTAAAGTAACTTCGCTCTTTAACCGACTGCCATTGGTTACACCTAGGTTTAGCCGGTTAAAGTTCGAAGCGCTGAAAACTCTTCGGACTTTAACCGTAAGACCCGGGTAATTCTCAACTTTAACCGGTTAAACTTAGGTTTAGCTGGAATTCGACCTTTAGTCATAACATATACACAAATTAGAACCTAAATCGAAACGAAAATAGATATATTGAATGTAATGAAAGATAACCTAAATTTGACATTAAAAAAGATTGTGTTTTTGTGGATACTCATCTATGTTATCATGGTTACATGTTTTTAGACTAATCATTGGCGCCAGTGATTTCAAAAGGATGCAGACTTTTCCGATCCATGCATGCATGATTTCAACTTGCATGCCAGTTGATGTTTACACATGTAATTTAATTTTAGTGGCGCGCCAGTTTTGATTGGCGCCACTAAATCCATGCATTTCTAAAGTCACTTTTAACATAAACACTACTTGAACACATTACCCGCGAAGAAGTGAAATGGAAGCTTAGGAGTTGCTGAAGTTTTGTAATTATTAATAAATATCAACATTATGTATGAAATGTCCGGAATATCACAAAACATCTTACACTGTAAAAAAATCATGTAAATGATATGGATTTATAACACCATGAAACATTTATAAAATGTTCACTACAAATTAAATAAATGCTGTCAATATACAATTTTAAGGGAACATTTTATTTAATTAATTTGTTTATATTTTTGTTAGAGTAATAGACAATTTTGTCGATTTTTTGAAGCATTTCAAATTATATTGCTGTCTTAACAAAGCAATACAATACTTTACGTTTTAAAGTTGTTCATTTTAGTTGTAAAATGATAAAAAAAACAAAATAAGGACAACTTTTAAAGTTCTATAACTAAAGATGTATTTGCCAAAATACTATTAATACATTTTTCTAAGAAAATATTGTTCATTCAGTGTCAAAACAAACTCATTAAGAAATTTAGTAAACATATTTACTGTTTAATTTTTCACCCTATTATGTAAATTTGCTACTTAGAACATCACGCTCTAGGAACTAATTAACTTGCAATGTAAAATAATGAACCAAAGGAAAATGATTGAAAAAAAAAAATAATGAAACAATTTATTCTTAAATTAATCATAAATAATTTATACATTCTTAAACCACATTATTACAACTATTAATTGAAATTTAAATGAATTAATATTCGCTAAATTAAAAATTTTTATTCATATATCACAGTAACATAAAACTCAATTTTTTAAGAGAAAGTTAAATGAATTGATCCATATTTACATGAGCCATAGCGATATCTGTAGGTGTTGGTCCCTGAGATATTAAAAAACTTTCTTCAGAACTATCATCCACCACGTTCGTTAAACCGCATTGTAAAACTGGAACGTCGCTTGTTTCTTTTGATAACTTGGTTACTTTCATAGAACTTTTCTCAATTTTTGCAGTACATTCACCAAGAAATTTGTTCAAATTCTACAAAAATAATTAGTAAAAAGATAGTACCACAAATGTATTGAACTTATTACATCTGGTAATTGGAATTTAAATTTATCCATATATTCCTGTAAATAATTGTGAGTATTTTTATTAACAATAGTAAATTGATTTGCAATGGCGAATGCAAAATCACCCTGCGGTGGATTGTAAAGAAGATTTTGTACAGAAACAACATCTCCTTTTGAAATATCGTCTAGTAAACGGCATAATTTTGGTCCATCTCTTACTCTAACAAACATTATATTTCCCAAAAAATCCGCCAACCAAAAACTTTGATCCGAATCTGTTACAATTAAATAAACAACCACGCCAACCGTATCAAATTCTTCCAGCGGTGGTTTACAATGCTTATCCAATAGCAACTCAATTGGATATGCTTGTCGTTTGAATTTGTTACGCGAAACTTCTTTATCTAATTTAAAAAACGTGGTTTTTGTAGAAAATAATTCGCCATTATATCTCGGCAAAATATTGTAAACATAATAGACTCTGCATTCTTTTAATAAACCTAAGTCATCTTCGGTTGGATTCCACAAACAAAATTGATATGGTTTATTTGATCCACAAGTAGCATCTAAGACTAATAACTTTAAAATTGCCACAACATTTCTTTTTGTTAACTTTAGTTTTTCCATTTCTTCTGCTATTTTCTTTGATAATTGTTGTTGGGTTTGCATACAAACCGTTTGTCTGTAATCTAAAATGTTTGCTCTTTGTGATGGCGACAAATATTCCTGTAAATGATTGAATTAGATATTGTATAAAAAAAAACTTTAAAATAAATAGGAATACCAAAAACTCATCCGGATCATTTGCTGATTCAAGAAGTGCTAATAAAGTTTTAGGGCAAGTTATTTTTAATAATTCACCTTTACTTATTTTTGAAGGTTGCAAACAATTTTTTTTTCTTTCTTGCATTTTTTCAAACTCATGTGTTTTCTGAACTTCATAATGAACCTTTTCCATTTTTGTTAATCTATCGTTTTCAAATTCTCGAATACGTTTCTGTTCGGCTTTAAAATTTCTCCATACTAAAGTCAAAAAAATATATAAAATTAGAGATATGTAGAATAACTTAATTGTAAGTATATTTTTTTGAGTTAGAATGTATTTTTGAAGTTAATGAACTCTAACATTAGAATGTTGTAAGAAGTTTAAAAAATGAAAAGTGATTCATTATTAAATCAAATTCATAATGGAGTGGCCTACAAATATTGTGTAGAAATCAACTGCGAATGAATAATTTTGATTGACAAAAATAAATGTTTGAGAGTTTACAAAATCCAGTTCCCTCATTAATTGAATTGCGTGNATAAACAACACATTTTATAACAATAATGTCACTAATTATGATGAAGATTGTTTACAACATATCGCTTGCCGCTTGCCACGGGCCACGGGGAACCATGGAATTGTCACAAGTTAGATTTCGGGTATTCCCCGATCGATATGTGCGGCAGCGCGGCGCCAGTGACGCCATGTACAGCTGGGCAAATAAATGAGAGTATAGAGCGGAAAATCTCCTAGAGCGATCTAGCGGTAATATTACGTAATATTACCAAAATTACCAGTAACATTTCCTCGGTAATATTACCCTTTACATCACTAATGAAGTGTAATCTAGTCAGAATCGTCGTCAATACACTCGTTCTCGTTGTTGGCGGGGGCACCGGCGTTTTGTATTTCAAATATTTCATTGTAGTAACTTGTCTGCCGCTGGTACGTATTTGTTGGCTAAATACATGACGTGATCGTATTNAATGTATTTTTGAAGTTAATGAACTCTAACATTAGAATGTTGTAAGAAGTTTAAAAAATGAAAAGTGATTCGTTATTAAATCAAATTCATAATGGAGTGGCCTACAAATATTGTGTAGAAATCAACTGCGAATGAATAATTTTGATTGACAAAAATGTCGTGCAATGCGCTTGGAATACAATCCTTGTTTGAGAGTTTACAAAATCCAGTCCCCTCATTAATTGAATCGCGTGCCATTATGCTCTTCACTAGTGATGTAAAAAAAGTAACAATTCGTTATACGAGTACTCCTTACTCCGCGAGATCCGAAGTAACTGTTACCGTATCACATCGGTACCAGTTACTTTGGATCTAACAGTTACTTTTTCCAAAGGCCAAGTATTGTTGGATAGGCGAAATCGACTTCAAAGTCGAAATGCGCAACAAAATTTATTTTTGCATTGCAATAATAAGCTGTAATATCTTTTATTGTTCTTTTAATATTTTTATTTTATTTTATTATTGCTTGTTTATAGAAGAAGTTTTGTTTTCCATTGTTAATGTGTTACTACTTTCAAATATTTTTGTTATATAATAAGTGAAACGTAAGTTATTAATAATTAAGAAAAATTCTTCGTTATATTCAATATGCGGTGAAAAAGTAAATCCCATAACCTACACTCTATTTTTTGATATTAGTGCACAGTGCATAATAGCGTAACAAACACAATATAATATACGTACAGTATTTGTTTTCAAAAATAAGTGTAGTATAAAATAAATTCATATAAGTATGTAGTCCAACTAAAACGAGTACTCTATCGCAAACGAGTAATCGAACCTCGAGCGCAAACTAGTACTTGTAACGAGTACAAAGTAACGAATACTTTTTCTGAAAGTAACTGATAGTTACAAATACTAAAAAGTAACTAAACTTTACCTCACTACTCTTCACATCTTCACAGAATAGGCCAAACACAAGATTGCTATCGATGATACTCAATTTTACCACAAAATTTAGTTTAATGATCTGGAAGCCTTTGGTGTACTTGATGGACTGGTGGAATTATTAGGTAATATTTCTTTAAAAATGATGTCAGTGACAACATTGTGGTGAATAACAGCGCTATTTATTTATGATTACTCACTTTTTCGTTTCTTAATGGAATAAAGTTAACGTGGAATAGCTGTTGTTTCACCAAGAAGGCACAACATGCCACAAATTGCCCAAAATCGTTCAATGAGAGCATAATTGAACACTCCAGTACAAAAACCAGACAAGTACACCAAAGTAAAATGTTGGAAAATAAGGAAAAACTGTTTATTCTTTTTTATTATGATTTTGACAGTTTTTGTGATATCTACATAGTCGATAGGCGTATAGATGTTAGTTTTAGATAAATTTTAATTACTAATTATTTTTTGTTTTTTGTCTGCATAAAAAATGTTCTAAATGAAAATAAACTTTTCATGCTTTAAACCTTAGAAGAGGCAGATGGTGATTTGTATTAAAAAAAAAAAACAGTTTTTCAACAAAAAGATGGATGTCTGATTTTTGCACCAAATTTTCAGGTATCTCGTTCTTGCACAAAAAATAAATACCATAGATTTTAAACATTATTCATTGTTTAAATTTAAAAAACACACCAAAACATATTATTTAAACATAGTGAAGTGTAGTGATGTAAAATTACCGGTAATTTAAAAATCGGTAATATTACCGGTAATGTTACGTAATACTTTTTAAGTAATACAGGTTTTTTTTATTTCAAAACTGTAAAAACATTACGAAAAACAACAAGAACGTGTTTTAAACTAGTCAGAGTCACAATGGACTATCTATGTAATAGAGTGGATAATGGTAAATCATCCTCATCATCATCCGGATCATCCCCAACCTCGTCATCTGAATCTTCTTTCTCTTTCGTTAATTGAGTAAAGTCTATAACTTCGAAACCGATANATAATTCAGTACAAAAACTAGACAAGTACGCCAAAGTAAAATGTTGGAAAACAAGGAAAAACTGTTTATTCTTTTTTATTATGATTTTGACAGTTTTTGTGATATCTACATAGTCGATAGGCGTATAGATGTTAGTTTTAGATAAATTTTAATTACCAATTATTTTTTGTTTTTTGTCTGCATAAAAAATTTTCTAAATGAAAATAAACTTTATCTACGACTGCTTGGATAAGTCATCATTACCGCATTCATTTGAGGTGATTTAAGTTACGTAATGAAGTTCATTACCGCACTGGTTTCATTACGTAACGCATTTTTAGCCTAATCAGAACAGACTTAATTTATTGAAACGAGCAACAATACAAAAGAAAAAGTGCTGTCTACTTACAGAGAAACAATACTATTTATTATAAACATTAATTGTTGTTTTTACATTTCGAAACAAGACAATTCAAAATTGTCAACAATCATTTCAAAATATTTTTATAAATGCCAAATAGACTTTTTTAAAGAAATTGATTTTTTAGTAATTTTTAGCAGTCGTAGATAAAATGCTGTATATCACACGTGGGCTAGAGCATAATTACAGTACTCGTGTGATTACACGACTCGGTCTACGACCTCGTCATGCAATTCTCCACACTCGTACAGTAATTATGTTTCTAGCCCACTTGTAATATAAATAACTATTTCATGCTTTAAACCTTAGAAGAGGCAGATGGTGATTTGTATTAAAAAAAAAACGGTTTTTCAACAAAAAGAGGATGTCTGATTTTTGCACCAAATTTTCAGGTATCTAAAACACACCAAAACATATTATTTAAACATAGTGAAGTGTAGTGATGTAAAATTATCGGTAATTTAAAAATCGGTAATATTACCGGTAATGTTACGTAATATTACGGTAACATGGTAATTTGTAAAAAACAGCTTTTTAAGTAATACAAGTTTTTTTTATTTCAAAACTGTAAAAACATTACGAAAAACAACTAGAACGTTTTTTAAACTAGTCAGAGTCACAATAGACTATGTAATAGAGTGGATGATGGGAAATCATCCTCATCATCATCCGGATCATCCCCAACCTCGTCATCTGAATCTTCTTTCTCTTTCGTTAATTGAGTAAAGTCTATAACTTCGAAACCGATANCTTGTCTGCCGCTGGTACGTATTTGTTGGCTAAATACATGACGTGATCGTATTTTTGCGGGTATAACTTTCGTTTTTCTTTATACAGTTTCTGATCAGGATTAGGCAATGTCGCTTGTTGGTTAGGTTTTTCAAGAATACAATCTAAAAATATGACACTAACGCTCACTTGAATCACCGGAATCTTTTGTCTATCGTATCGAAAGAGGCGATATTTGGAAATTGTGAATTTATCTCCACGTGATGTAGTAGTTTTTTTAAATTTATGAATAAAATGACTTTTATAGTCCAGTAACATTTCTTGATCGACAGTAATAGTTTGGAAATTACGCGAGGCCAAGTTAATGATTCTGGCATATTCTTGGGGCAAATAAATTTTCTCATGTTTTTTCTTTTCTTGCATTATCTTCCCAAAAGCTCGATCACAGGGGAGAAAACTGTGGGGGAAACTGTATACAAAAACTGCACCATAGCAGCGTTTTTGTTTTGTGAGCTGCAGTTGTCTGAAAAAATATACAACTCTGTGACTTTTGCATCTAGTTTAGTTGCAATAAAATGATTTAGCAAACTAACTACAACATTCTGATCCTTTGAACCAGTCAACTCGTCATACAAATAACAAAAGCTTGTATTTAAGCTGGCAGCGTGAAATTATACACCCATAACTGTCGCTTATAGAAAACATCGCCAGTTGCCAGAGAGGGCAGTGGAAAATTTTGGTGAAAATCCATTGAAATTGTTTCAATGTGACCGTTATCAATAGCAAGTACAGTTTTTTCTTTTGTCTTTATAAAATGTTCCAGCTTTAAAGAGATGTAGTTTCTTTTCTGTCTCTAACTGTGTTTTTATATCAGCAGTGTCTGCAGCAGGAATTTTTATGTCATATTCTTCGCAAGTTTGACATGTGTCTGTTTTCGGTTTTCCAAACTAATATTGAAATTTTCAACAAAATATTTCCGATAGTAATCATATTTAACATTTGGATTTATTTTTCTTTTATTGATCAAATTGTTGTGTTGTTGTGGTTCATATATCTCCAAATACAGTTCGTACATTTTCGAAATATTTAAAAGTCTGGACAGAAAATAATGGCCCGTGCGATAATGGCTTTGGTATTTTGGAAAGCTCCTAATGTGAGTATCAATTTTATTGTTGATGTCTTGTGATATTTTATTAGGTCT